TACCTCCTTGAGGGATGGCTCTTTCAAAAGGGCCCCCTGGCTAGATCTTAACTGCCGGGTAGGCTCATATGGAAGGAGGCGGTCCTTCAGGTATCCAGGGCCCAAGCCGTTTAGGGCTTTATATGTCAAAACAAGCACTTTGAATTGGGCCAGCTCTTCTTGCCAGCTCTTCTTGATGTCTTCTGCTTCTGTTAGGTCCCTCCCATTTTTGTCCTTTATGATGTCCATCTTTGCACAAAACGTTCCTTTAATATCTCCGATTTTCCTGAACTGATCTCTGGTTTTTCCTTTCTATTATGTTTCTCTATTTCAGTGTTCATTTAAGAAGGCCCTTTTGTCTCTCCTTGCTATTCTTTGGAAGTCTGCATTCAAGTTTCTGTAACTTTCCCTATCTCCCTTGCATTTTGTTTCCCTTCTCCTCTCTGCTATTTCTACAGCCTCACTGGACAGCCACTTTGCTTTTTTTGCATTTCCTTTTCTTCGGGATGGTTTTTGTTGCTGCCTCCTGTACAATGTTACGAGCCTACCAGCTACCTGGGATTGAAAGCAGGTCATGAGCAGAGTTTTGGCTGCAGTACTGCAGTTTAACCACTGGACGACGAGGCTCCAGAACGGTTTAACAGGAAGGTTGTGTCCAACACAGTAACTCAAAATGTAGTGGGAGAAGAGAGAGAGTCCCAGCCCCTTTTCGGAAGAGAAGCAGGGTCAGCCCTTATATTTTTAACACCTAGAGAGGATTCAGGAGTCTCTCCTTGGTTTGTAAATAATTCCCTTGTTCTCATCAGAGGAGTGTCTTCTCCTACAGCTGTTCCCCCAGGGCTGCCCTGAAGGCCCCCCCTTTTTTTTAACCTGCCCTCCCCCCCAAGGCTTGGTCTCACTGGCTGCTCCTCTCCTTCCCCTTCCAGGTGAGCAGAAGGTCCTCCTGGTGGTGATGCATTTTATCCCAAAGGACAACCCAATGGCTTATGTGGACGCCAGGCAGCAGGGGCGGTATCCGGCGGTGGTCCTGACCGTGAATACTCGCTACACCCTCCAGGATGGCTTCTACCCGTGCGAGATGAACGAGACGGCCGTGGCTGACGTGGCAGCTGCCATCCAGGACCTCGCTAAAGATCATGGATGGGGGACCTGCTGCTCCCCTTAAGTGGTGCCGTAGAGGGGCTGTTGAGACACTGTTGGGGATTGCTGCAGTGCATGCTGGGAATGGATGGACTCAGCGCATGGGGTGTGTGTAGGGTGATGGGCTTCCCCTGGATTCTTGCGTGGGTGGGTAGGTGGGATTCACACTCCTCCCCAGCCATGTGGCAGCAAACTGCCTCGAGCTGGGGAGAAGGCTAGTTGTCCCTCTGGGCATGCACAGACCTGCCCTGAACCTCAGGCTGACCGGGCAGAGCCGGGCAGGCAGTGACCTGGCGTGTTCCTCTGTGCATGTCGAGGGAGGGGGGGTGAATGGCTAGGGTGGGTGGGTTTTCTGCTCTCCTTCTTTGCTTTTACACACCCACTGGGTGATTTAAAACAGGAGTTGGGGGCAGGGAGATCTGCCGTGTTTCCCCAAAACTAAGGCAGGATCTTTAATATAATTCTTCTTCCCAAAAAAAAGAATTAGGGCTTATTTTCAGGGGATGCTTCATTTTTTTCATGTACAACCATCTACATTGATTCTAATACAGTCCTGTCCTCTTCTTCTGGTTGCTGCACAAGGGTGGGGGGCAGGCTTTCAATTCACAGGGGCTTAATTTTGGGGTAGGGCTTATATTACGGGCATCCAACAGGGTGGAGGGGCGAGAAGAACAAAGTTTGCCCCCGAAATAATGGGGGGGTCTCTGTCTTTTCCAGGGCTGGGGAAATTATACTGTTTTTATTTGCTTACAGCCCCCTCCAGAATCCCCCCACCCAGCATGCCTTACCTAGAAGATGTCCGTGTCTAAGGATGCTCTCCTAATCAAACCCCCCCAATCGTGATCCCCCCAAGGGGGTTGCAAAGTGTTTTGGGGGGACAGAGGTGCTCCTGGGCAGTCGAAAGGCAGATCATGGAATAGGGGTGCAGCCTGTGCTGGATGGGGTGAGCCTCTCCCTGAAAAGTCAGGTGCACAGCTTAGGGGATGTTCCTGGATTGATCCCTGAACCTCAGTGCCCAGGGTTCAGTGGTGTTCAGGAGTGCTTTTCCACAATTAAAACTAGTGTACCTGGAAGGTTCTGATCTGGCCACGGGGACACACGCCTTCGTTCCCTCCCGGCTGGATTCTTGTAATGCACCCTGCGTGGGGGCTGCCGATGGAAAGGGTCAGGAAACTCCAGAGGGGAGCCTAAACGCGGCAGCCAGATGGCTGACTGGGGCTGATCAAGGGATCACGTAACCACCCCAGCCGGATGCAGCTGCGCCACCACCTGCTGATCCATTTCTGGGATGAATTCAAGGTGTTGGTTTTAACCTATAAACTCCTAAAAACTTTGCACCAGACTCTTTCAAGGACCACCTCTTCCTTGATGAGCCTGCTCCAGTGTTACGATCACCAGGAAGTAGCCTTCCTCATCATCCTGCCACATTAACAGATGTGTTTGGTGGGGCCACAGGAGAGAGGACCTTCCCTGTCGCTCCTCCTTTAGACTCTGGAACTCCCTCCCACTGGAGGCTAGACCTGCCCTGTCTTGGATGACCTTCTGCAAGCAGGCAAAGACCTTCCTCTTCAGATGAGCCATCTCTCAATAACTAGACACGTGTGTTTTTTAAGAGGATTGATACTGTGGTTTTTTTTTTCCATTTTTGGGTTTTCCATCTCTCTCTGGACTTTTTCCCCCTCTATTTAAAATTTGTATGCCTCTTGCGCCTTTGTTTTGATCTTGCCTTTTAATGATGTAACCTGCCCCTTTATATTCATGGTTCCTGGCTTTAAATATTGCCTTTTAAGGATGTGAAGCCTCCTTGTGTACTTATTGTTTTAAACTTTACATATTGTCTCGCATTGTTGTAAGCCCCCTTGGGTCCTTTTCGAGGTGAAGGGCATGGTAAAAATATTCTAAGCAAATAAATAAATTGATGAATGGCTGTTTTTTGTTGGAATTACTTTTTATTATTCCTTACATTAAACAGGGTGTGCACAGTGCTGTCTTATTTTAAGCCTCTTGGTCCACAGGCAGGTTATTTTAATTTTAATCCACCCTTTGGGTGGATTTTCCTTTTTTGCATGGGCATCACTCATCCCCCACCCCACTCCCAAAAAAGAGCAGCTCCCCCTCTTTGCTCCCTTCCTCACCCACCTTCGGAGGACTGATGTCAGCCCTTTGGACCAAAGCGTTAGTCTGGCTCAAAGAGGCCGGAATGGGGCAAGTGGGCAGGGCACGGCATGAACGCTGACGCCCATCATGGCGGTAGGGTCAGACCGTTCCACGGGCCGTGGCCCCTTCCCTTCCATCTGAGCCTCCTGCTCCTCTGGATGCAGTGATGGTGGCGCTCTAAGGGGAGAGGGGAGCCGGGCAGGGAGACGCCTCCAGACCCCACTGGAGTCCCTGGAGGGGGAAGGCAAGGGGGGCAGAAAGGGGAGGGAGGAGAATCAGAGAAGGGCCAA